GGCTCGGGGTTTGTTAGTGCCGGAATCTGCAGCCGATCTCAGCTGAGCTCGGTTCTCATTACCTGGCACTTACGTTTCAGCATGAGCTTCTGAGCTCGCACAAGCAGGAGCCAAAAGCTGAGCAAAGTCTTCAACTTAAAAAACTTCCCACACATTTTAAAAGGCTGAATGGCTTAATTCCACGCAGTAACATTGGTCCCCCAAAATATTTTCATTTCAATATGCAGATTTCAAGAGGAGATGGAAGGTGGAAGTTTAAAAGAGCCTCGAAACTTAGCTCACCTTCCTCCCCGTGTTGTAGGCGCCTCAGGCATCTGCATGACCAACACAGTGAGGCATAAGCTGTTTGGGCCTTTCCAGTGGAAGGAACGTGCAAACAAACAAGGTTAACTTTCCACGTTAAGTGCATAATCCTGCATGTACACTTTCTCATGATAATGACTATGATGCACCTATATCCTTTATTGTGGTAGACTATGTTTTAGGTGAACAGATGCTCTTTCAAATGATTTTAAGTTGTATATTATTTGCAACTTGGGGATATTTTCATCTGTTCCTTCCTGGAAATCCTTCAATATCATTTAAAAAAACAAGTTACCATTCTCATTTTGGTAATATTGATATTCTTTGTTAAAATAAAATGCTTTTTTCTCTTTTGGGGAATGTTGTCTGGTTGGTTGGTTGGCTATGGGGAGGTAGTTGTATTGCAGGTTTTAATGACTTTTCAGAAACCCCAATTTTTTTTTAATATATATTTATTGATTTCAGAGAGAGGAAAGGAGAGGGGGAGAGAGAGAGAAACATCAATGATAAGAGAGAAACATTGATCAGCTGCCTCTTGCACGTCCCCTACTGGAGATCAAGCCCACAACCTGGGCATGTGCCCCAAGTGGGCTGACCTCTTGGTTCATAGGTCAATGCTGAAGGACTGGGCCGCACCGGCTGGGCCAAAAGCCCCAATTTTTTACCAATCAAGGACAAAGGATGTAATTGATTCTTGCATCAGGAAGTCTTTTTGGTTAACTCAGTTATCCAGGATGCTAAAGAAGTGGTACAGCCGGAAGAATTTAGAGTCAAACATAAAGCCAAAACCTTCGAAACTGTTTACTCCTCATAATGAGGACCTGAAGCAGATAATAGAATAACCCTCAAATTCTTCTCCATCAGAAACAAACCCCTGCCTCCCTCTCCCGTCACAGGGCTTCGCCCGCACTGCTCTTGTTCTCATCCTTTCCCTCTTCTCGTTCCTTCCACAGAAACCATCCCCTCAGAGCCATCAGCAGCCCCTTCACTCCAGAATCACCGCAACCAGCCAGTAAGCCCAGGCCTTCAAACAATCAGATTCATTTTCACCAATGGAGCTAATAAACCCAGAAGGAGAATGAGCTGTGCGAATCTATATTCTCCATCCAAAAATGCTCTCGTGAGGGGGGATCCGGGAAATTCCCCTTACCTTCTGTTAATTGCAAAATAAGTGACTTTCCAAGAGTAAGGAGCTGCTGAGAGTTGGTTTTATCCAGAGCTCCCCTACAAGCCCGGGGCAGTCATTCCCCTACACCCGTGGTCGGCAGAGTGCGGCCCTCGAGCCACAGGCGGCTCTTTGGCCCCTTCAGTGTGGCTCTTCCACAAAATACCACAGCCTGGGCGAGTCTATTTTGAAGAAGTGGCGTTAGAAGAAGTTGAAGTGTAAAAAATGTGGCTCTCAAAAGAAATCTCAATCGTTGCACTGTTGATATTTGGCTCTGCTGACTAATGAGTTTGCCGACCACTGGCCTACTTCCAGCGTTCACATTACCTGGGCAGCGAGTTGTGAGCACACAACCTTCCGCTCGGCAGAGGTCTCTCTGAATTCCCCATCAAGGCCCTGCTCCTTTCCTCCCCCGCCCCCCACCTCCGTCTCTCCTGGTGTGAGCTGTGATTTGAGCAACAGGAAAGCATTGTCCTCCTAGCGGTTATACAGGAAAGGAGAGAAAATTTGCAGTCTCCATAAAACAACCCCAGTCTGCATTAAACACCTCCAGCAGAAACTGCTCAGTGTGGAGAGAGGCTGGCAGCAATCCACGGAAAGGCCGCTCCGGCAGGAATCCTGCCTCGGAAGGAGCTCTCCCAGAAGCCACCGTGCTCCGTAGGGAGAGGTTGGTTCTGGGTCGGAGAAACCCGGGCGTGCTGTCTGTCAGCTGTCTGTCTGAGGCAAGGTGCCTGACCTTTCTGAGCTTCGGCGTCATCCTCTGGAGAAGGGTCACCACAACGCCTCTGAGTGTGGTTGACACAGGAATTACAAAGAGTTAATAGAAAGCGCCCTGCTCGTGGTCAGAAATCCATCAAATGTAGTAATATTTACAGCTTGATTCCCCAAACACAGTGCCTTGCACGAGATGAGAATTAGTAAATATTGGTGGAAGTGAGAGGAGTGAAAGAGAGAAGGAGAAAGGAAAGGTGAAGAGAGAAATCTGGAAAGATTTGAGTTCAGCACTGACAGAGATAGTCTCCTCCTTTTAGTTTTTTTAATATATTTTATTGATTTTTTTTACAGAGAGGAAGGGAGAGGGATAGAGCGTTGGAAACATCGATGAGAGAAACATCGATCGGTTGCCTCCTGCACACCCCCTACTGGGGATGTGCCCGCAACCAAGGTACATGCCCTTGACCAGAATCAAACCTGGGACCTTTCAGTCCACAGGCCGACACTCCATCCACTGAGCCAAACCGGTTTGGGCTCCTTCTTGTAATTAATAACTTTTCTGATTGCAGTGTGTATTTACTATAGAAGTCTTTGAACACCACGGACAAGGAACAGCCCCAGGGACCCCAAAGATCAGAGTGCCCTGGCGGCCAGGCGCTCTGCTCTGCTGCCTGGGGCAGCAATAATGCCGCTTACAGCCACGTGTCGCCACTGGTCTGCTATTCCAGAACCCCGCTCCCTTCCCCTGGCACCGAGAAGCTCCGTGTCAGGGCACTTTCTCCTGCCATCACCCCCAGTCTACAAGGGACCGCCATTACCCAGCCTTCCCATGAGGCACGCACCCTCCCCTGTGCCCTCCTTATGTTGCCTTATGGAGGGCCGTGGCCACGGGACCCGCCGGGTGCACGCAGCCCCCCGATTCCCGGGAGGCCAGCATTTATGGACGGAATCCATGGGCTCCCTCACTCTCTGCCTTCCCGTTGGATTCGGCAGGAGATCCAGGCATGGGAGCAGAGGGAGGGAGGAGGGGGTGCCAGCCTCCTGGCCTCACTTTGGTGATGGCTGCCTCTTCCTATGCCTCCCTCTCCTACAGTTCTCTCTGGGGTCCGATAGTCACTTCCCCTTCTTGTTCCTTTCGCCGAGGGCTGCCCGTTGCTTCTAAACCAGTGTTTAGAAGTGTTTCACAGCCCTGGTTGGTTTCCCTAACTCTGCTCAAACCCTCCTCAATGTCCATTGCAGTGCATCCTTGGTTTCCTGCCAGGACCCTTACTGATGAATTTCTCAAATTCTGGCAAGCCATAACCTCTGACTCTGCACCCAAAGTTTCCTTAAGAAGCAGCCCTTTCTCTCAAAGGGTCCTGAGGGACGTTCTCGGGAATGGGTTGAGAACATTAGAATGGTGCTACTCAATATTATCCCCTGTCGCCGCCCACCTCCCCTGTCCCTGCAGAGGCCCCACGCTCTCAACTACTTGCCATGCCAGCATTGACTTTCTTGCCTCCCAAACAGACCTGCACTAACCAGTGGGGTGGATTTTGCTCCCAGATGTCAGCCTCCCAGTCCCTGACTGTCCATCCCAACTTTTGCTTTACTGATTTTGTGGGGACTCGTTATTCCCCCCCTCGGCGAGGACTCCTGGCTCCCAGCTGGGATGCGTCAGGGGTAGGAACACAGACAGAGCCACTCCAGGGACTCATGCTATCCAGCCGGCTCCATGTTCCTTCCTAAACACGACATCCCACATTGATGTAAAAGTAACGTCCCGGTTCATTTTAAAGAGGGCTTGTGACTGTTATCCCAGGTGTATGAAAAACCATTTTGGAAAGTTCTCATCAATTCTCAAGACAGAAGACAGGCTTTATTTGCAGCAATAAGATTCTTATGGCGTACTGTGGGAAAGAAGCCAGGTCAATGTCAACCCCCAAAATGTCAGCATTAAAGACACTTGCAAAGCACTAGAGTTTTAAAAGAGCCCCAGAGAACCAGCTGCCGGAGGCTGTAGAGAGGGCAGAAGCTACACAGTCACGAGCCAGCAATGCAGTCTTACCCCTTACAAACATTTCTTCTGAGTTTAAAAAAGAAATTACAATTTCCATTTAAAATAAGCTACATGGGAAAGAATGTTTGTGGTTCATCGTTTTGGGAGAGCATCCCATGAGTCTGAAAACATGAGTTTCGTTTAGTAAGTGTTTAAGTGTGAAGGACAGCTGCTGTTCCCTGTTGTTTCAGAGAACGTTTATTTAAAAGGAACCTCGTTCGTAAGGATCTTGAGGGGATTTAGGGAATTTTGCTTGAAAAATGAATCACCCAAATCCAGATTCCTTTCCTTTTGAGTTACCATCTCCCTGCCTCCTTTAATAACTGCCCACTTCAAAGGAGAGGAAGGACTTTCCCTAAGGAAGCGTTCAGTGGGGTTTGGGGCGGAGGCATGGGGACTGGAGCATTGGTTTTATTGATTTCTGGCCCTTTCGCCATAACTCTATGGGAGGCCTGTCAGTCAGGAGGACATGAGGATTTAAAGGCTTTCTAGCCCCATTTCCTGATTACGCCCGCTGCCCTGAAACCATTGGCATGCTATCAACCCATTGTGGTGCTATACCAATGGCGTCCTGAGCTTCAAGGTAGAGGAAAATTAATTTGCAGGTGTGTGAGCTAGAGAAATTGCTCCAGCGAAGGCACAAATATGGTTTTGCTTCGTTAGCTGGGTGCTGCCCCCGGGGCCTGGGCCTGGGCCTGGGCCTGGGCCTGGGCCTGAGCTGAAGCCAAGGGAGACAGGTGACCTCCTCCACGGTGTGGTCCAAGGTAAACAGTCCTCCAATCCGGGGTAATCGCTGCTGGTGCTGCCCGTGCGGGGTGGGGGATGGGGGGAAAGGGTCTGCGAGGTTCGAGGCTGCCATCGTGCTGCAGGCCACGCCTCAGAGGGTCTCGCACTCGGTGGTGGCGGTGGAGCAGGCCCCGCAGTCACAGCGGACGGCCACGGGGTAGGTGTAGAAAGGGTCGACCCCCGGGGCACAGTTGGGCAGCTTGACGGTCGCTTGTTTGGTCTCGTTGTAGGTGCAGACTCGGTGATGGGCTTCGATGTAGGGGGGCTCCAGAATGGGCTTCTGTCCCCACAGGTAGAAAACAGGGAACCGTTAGGACAGCCATATTCAACCGAGGTGCAGCAAGAATTGTTAAACATGCAATAGCTTAGATCGGTGTTCGGCAAACTCATTAGTCCACAGAGCCAAATATCAACAGTACAACGATTGAAATTTCTTTTTTGAGAGCCACATTTTTTAAACTTCAACTTCTTCTAATGCCACTTCTTCAAAATAGACTCGCCCAGGCCGTGGTATTTTGTGGAAGAGCCACACTCGAGGGGCCAAAGAGCCGCCTGTGGCTTGAGAGCCGCAGTTTGCCGACCACTAACTTAGATGGTCAAATAAAAGCCAAGACAACAAGAGCAAGGCGGTATAGGGAAGACATGTACCCCCCCAAAAGTTGTGTTTATCTGGCATCCAAGTTTAATGCATTGTGGGTTTGTTCTGTTTTGGGTTTATTTTTTGCTAAATCTGGAAACCCTAAACCCAGGCCATGAGCGAAGGCTATTTTCAGCAACATCCGACCTTCAAAGCAAATGCAGCCACTTTCTCGTCAGGAACATCCTATTTTCAGATGTGCTCCCAGATAAAAATAAATGCTTTTTATCTCAGAAATTTTCAGATTGCTGGGAAAGTAAATCTCAGCCTTTTATTTATTTTCTGTAAGTAACCTCCCTTTCCACGATCAAGGCATAAATAAAAGCGAGCTAGCATCAAGGAGAATCCTGTCTCTCATGGCCTTGCTGCCTCCGTTTCTCCTGGGACCTCCTCTGGGTGACCGTGATCCAATTAAAGTCATTCCTCAATAAATAAGGAGAAGAGAAGACAGGATTGAGGGACATGGTGGCTTGAGACCTGGGCTCCAAAGAGCCCCCACATGGAATTGGAGCAGAGGGCTCCCCATCAGGCCACACCCTGAGGATGAGAAGGTGTCCAAGTTCCCTGAGTTTGTGTGATGTCAAGTCACAGCCACAGCATCCTGGGCCACCTCATTTTCATATGGCTACTCGGTCTCAAGCCCCTAAATGATGCAAAAATAAAACTTAATTCGGTGTTTCATTTAATTCGGAGGTTTCATCACCATAACCCAGTCATTTAAGCAATAGCAGATTGCTGCCTGAGTCCCTGAACAGAAGCACAGTTTTCCCAATGGCAGTGTGTCCCCTCGTGGTGCTCAGGGCTTCTAAGCTGGTGTGAATGAAGCTAGAGGAGAAACACCGTAACTCCCGGGAGAGTCCATCCCATGGAATTCAGCAGGTACTTACGAATGCTTTGTTCATACATGACTTTGACAAGAGCTGTAAAAGGTGCAAGAATTTACCCATGCCCTGAAAAATCTTCAAACCTACAGTTGTATTGCAGGCAAGGAAGTGAGAAGCAAGGCAGGGCAGCGTCATGGGCCGCCCAGGGAGTCAGAGGGCCCCTGGGGAGGAGTCAGCTCCGGAGATGGGCCTCAGAGAAGAAGTCTGATCGTGACAGGTGGGAAGGAGAAAGGATACAAAGAGAACCAAAGGTGAGATCTCACGAAGGGTGTTTAATAAAACCTTTACAAATCCATCTGACAAAGGCCAGGCCTCAGGCTACGTGTAACTGCTGGGAACCAGCCAGACTGTCACATTGCTAAGGACCTTGAACGTTGGGCACCGAATTGGCAGGAGTGGGTGGTCCTTAATGATTTTCGAGATGGTGACAAGATCAGAGCCGGTCCCTCATTATAACCAATTCAGAGCTCAGGGGGAAGAGCTAGCTGTCACTCCCTGTGATCTGATGGGGTGCTGAATGACCTTCTTTCTTCTCACCGGGCAAACACATCCTCAACACAGCCCTGTAGGGTTCTAAATTTGAGATTTTTTTATCCCCATTTAAAATGCAATGCCGCTGAAAAGGCTGATTATAATTCAATATAAAGGAACTTAGTGGCTCTGCCCATGATAATCCTGAGCAGGTGGGTGGGGCGGGGGCAGGGCTTTGGGAGAGGCACCGAGGACCCACCCTCGCCCGCTCGATGGCTGTCTCTTGGCTGGCTTCCTCGCTGCTGGGAGAACACTGAGCATTTTGGTTACATGCTTGTACCAAGAATTTACTCCCACCTTTGCACCCCAGGAATAAACATGACTCTGCAGTTACTTATCCCTCAAATTCCTCCATGTCATCTGTGAAGTGGGCAGAATAACAGCAGGTCTTAACCTCCTAGAGATGATTCCCAAATACACAGATACACACAAGTAAAATTATTAATTTTATCAATGCATTGTTAGAGGGACAAGATCGGATTTCTTTCCGTTTTTGTTTTGTTTTTTGAGCATGCCAAATAATTGTGTGAGGTTTTTTTTTAATTGATTTCAGAGAGAAGAAGGGAAAGGAAGAGAGGGATTAGGAATATCAATGATGAGAATCACTGATCAGCTAAGTCCTACACACCCCCTACTGGGGATCGAGCCCAAAACCTGGGGATGTGCCCTGACAGGAAATCAAACCTAGACTTCAGGTTCATGGGTCAACACTCAACCACTGAGCCACACCAGCCAGGGAAATATAAAATTTTTTTTTTTTTAATCCGAAGGAAAAAGCAGATGCTTAGAAATCAGGCCAGTGGGCCTGTCTTGGACTCACCTCCCAGGTTTCACAGCGGCCCCAGCAGGCATCGGTGGTGATCCGAAGGCCCCTGCAGCCCGGCTTCTTGGCCAGGAAAGTGAACTCCCTGACGGCACAGCCCACGAAGGTGCGCAGGTTCCCGCCGGAGGTGCTGAGGACGCAGCAGCAGCCGGCCAGGAGGAGGAGGGCCAGGGGGCCGAGGAACAGGTATGCCAGCTTCATGCTGCTCCCCGGGAGAGGGAGAGGAAGGAGAGTCTGTTAGCTGGTCCAGCTGCCCTCCGTGGGGCAGCCAACGAGGCTGACACCAAAGGGGCCTGGCTCTCGGCATTTCAGAAGAAATAAGCCATGAAATTGCAGATGCCCACGAACCCCACTATAGGGGCCCTTATTTCCCTCTCACCAACTCCAATACAGATCCCACAGGCCCGTGTGCTCACTGGACACTCAGCCCTCCAAGGGGAACCTCGGGCTTTTCCTTGTTGTGTCTCAACTGCTGGACTTGAAATGGGTGTTAAAAATCAAAATTAAAAATAAAAAAGCTGTTTCAATGAACACAGACTATGAATCACACCCAAAATTATGCATATCCTAACATGCTACTTGGATACACACACATTATTTTTCTTCAGGTCCACTGTATTTGGTGCCATGTTGCATGTTTGTTTAAAATTATATTTTCAGCCGAAACAGATTTGTCTCAATGGATAGAGCGTCAGCCTGCAGACTGAAGAGTCCCGGGTTTGATTCCAGTCTAGGGCATGTACTATAGTTGCAGGCACATCCCCAGTGGGGCGTGTGCAGGAGGCAGCTGATCGATGATTTTCTCTCATCGATGTTTCTAACTCTCTATCCCTCTCTCTTCCTCTCTGTAAAAATCAATAAATTATTTTTTTTATATTTTTACTAGCCCAACTTTCCACAAAGCCTGGATGTGAACAGATATTATGAAACCTGGCACCTGACTTGGTGGCCGTCCATAAAAGTGTGCCCCCTTCACTGCCCGGGGCCTCAGCTCTGTGCCTCTGCTGCCATGGCCCCTCACTGTGACTCCATTTAAATCCAGATGATGAAAAGCTTGGAGATGCTAAAACATAATCCCTGTAAGTCTACTGTGAGTCTGCCCGCTTTGCATCTTGATCATTCCCTGCCTCTTTCGGGGGCCAGAGCCTCTCCCTACATGCTCGGCCCACTAGACAGAACATATGGGTATTACAGTGAGAGTGGACATTGCACTTATGGAATACCCCCAACTCATTATCACTTAAAAGAGGTTGCAGAGTTATTTATTTCCAAACCTGACCTCCCAGCTCTTGCTTCTGACCTGTCAGCTCAGCAGGGCTCTTTGGACTTCCCCTGGTGAGGAATGAAGTTCCAGAGATGAGATGCACTCACCTGCTCTTGCCGGAGCCAACTCTTCTCTCAGAGCTCACACTTGCCCAAGGACTCAGCAAGTCACGATGAGTGGCAGAAGCTCGCTCTGGGTAAATGTCTCTACCCTCGGATACCGGGCTGCTTGACTGCTCACATATATATAGGAAAGGTCTTGTCAGTCAACACAAAAGAGAGGCAGATCCTTACAGGAGCCACCGAGCACATCAAAGACCTGGGATATAAAGCAGGTCTCTATTTTCCAAAACTGATCAACTCAAAGGGTGTTGTTTTGTTTCTTAACATCACCTACTGAAACAGAAAGTTACCTCGGTGGGTGACATAATCCTAGGGAAGCAGTCAAAGGTAGTTCACCTGGCTCTAGGGACAACAAATGCATTGGGGCAAGATGGATTAAATTTTCCTTCGTGGTAACCACAACTTTCCTTCGAAACAGGAGTCAGTCACTAGTAGCTCGTGGCAAACTCTTTCCCTTAACTCACAATGCAATTCAATGCATTGAGAAATAACAAAGCAATAATTCTTCCTGGAAAGAACACTGGATCACTAGCTGAAAGGATGGAAATCGCAGGGAGAAGAATCATTTTGAAAGTCTTAAGATGAGTTAAGGATTAGATAATATTAATAACACTTGAAAATGAATCATTAAGGGGGGGAAAAATACCAAGATGTTCAAAGCGATTTATCTTCCAGCATGGGAGTTAATGACATTGGATGTCCTCTACAGAGTTTTCGGCATTTTTCACATTTTCTACATTGAGCAGCCTTCTGTAATAGAAAGACAATGAATAGTGATACTTTAAAAATTAAAATAAACCAATAAGTTACATTTGTGCTACATATAATGATATGATTTCTGGTTCTTAAAAGTCTAAAATGAGAATGAAATAGTGTTCTATAGGAGTATGGGACGCGTTTGTACTCAAATCTGCAACAGCAGCACACAAATGGATTGAAGACCTCATGTCCGTGGTATTGTTCTGGATGCTCTAAAAAATAAATGAAGCAGACATCACCTTTGCCCTTTGAGTTTACATATCACTGAAAATAATGACATAGCCAGAGACATTTAGGATGCACATTAAATGGATAAATGATACAAAAAAAAAAAAAAAAGTTAAAGCATTCCCAATTTCTGCAAAATAAAAAGTGTTCTTTAAACATACATCCTACTCCCTAAATGTTTGGGGGTTTGTTTTGGGTTTGTTTTTGTTTTTTTTCCAAGACATATAACAACTCTCAGTGAATCCATCACTGTATCAACATACCTATTTCTAGAGTCAGACTATTATATGGGTTTTATAGAAAATTGAACTAGTCTGGGAATAAGGGACTTTCTTCAACCCTCTGCCTGTGAGTAGCATGATCAGAACTTGGGTGGGATGGGGACAGACTGCTTTACCTGGTGCCGGGTCTAGAGCCAGCCAGTGGGCGGTGAGCTGTCATCCTGAAGTGGATTTCTCAAGAAAACGGTTCAACCCTTTTAGATTTGACCTGAAACATCCGGACTTGTGTCTGCAATGTCACACGGTAAAGGGAGATAACAAAAGGAGGCCACGAGTACCTTTCTTCTACAATCGCTAACTTCCTTAGAACGCAGTTGTGCCAGCATGCCTCTCCTCCCCGCTCCCGCCCCCAGCATTAATGTGATAATAATGACAATTGGTAGTCGCTGAGCAGCTATAAGGACCAGGCTCTGCAAAATCTGCTGCGCTCTCACCTATATTCTCTAAATCTTACCACAGTTCTGTGATTATTTTCTCCTTTGCCCATTGGGAGGAATGGAGGCTCAGCTATTTTGTCATCTGCCTTCGATGATACTGGGGATGGCACATAGGTGTTTCATCCCTATAACCAACCGGGGTCAGTTGAAAGGTTCTGTCTGGAACCCTGTTAAAAAGGCTTCTGAACCCATTCCCAGTGGAGGGCAGAGGCCCATCAGCCTCGCCTGGGGATAGAGAAGGGGAACGGTGCATGGAGGCCAATCCTTACACTAGGCCCCGTCACCTGCCTCTCTACCGGCAGAGTGAGGGGCTGCTGTGTGAGACAAAGGTGCTTGAGGCTCTGATCCCTATGGACCGGTAGTTCTCCACCTTCCTAATGCTGCGACCCTCTAATACAGTTCATGTTGTGGCGTCCCATAAAGTTATTTTTGTTCCTACTTCATAACTGTAATTTTGCTAGTCTTATGAATCATAATGTAAATATCTGTGTTTTCCAATGGTCTTCGGCGACCCCTGACAGCGGTTCTCAACCTGTGGGTCGTGGCCCCTTTCACAGGGGTCACCTAAGACCATCGGAAAACACAGATATTTGCATAACGGTTCATAACAGTAGCAAAATTAGTTATGAAGTAGCAATGAAAATAGTTTTATGGTTGGAGGTCACCACAACATGAGGATCTGTATTAAAGGGTCACGACATTAGGAAGGTTGAGAACCACTGCTCGAGAGCATCACCGCCATAGTCTGTACATCCACCACTTTCCCTTCCCTCTCCGCTGGCATTCCTACCATTCAAGTCACTCTCTTGAGGTAACAAATAAAGGTATGGGCGATGTCTCCAGGCAAAGCCCCAGAGAATCTTCTCTCATCTTCTTCCATTATCATCTTCATAAGCATTCATTGTCACTTCAGAGGGTGAGTCACAAGATACAGGTTCTCTAGGGTTAGGGGAGGAGGAAAGGACATGGGTGAGCAACTGTCCCGAGGTCTGAAGGAGCAAGACAACAGGAGAGGAATGAGCTCAGTGCCAGTACCTCAAGAGATGATGGGCAACCGAGACTGGTCCCCTCGGCCATGCTGATTCTCGGTGCCACAACTTCCTTTGTGACTGCCCGGAGAAACCCACTTCTCTCTACCTCAGTTGCCTCCTCTGTAACATGATAAACTGGACCCTGTGATCATAAGGTCCTTCCTAGCACCAGAACTTAAAGGTTTGCAAACTATTCTATGACCATAACAAACTAAGGGACAGTCAGCTGGAGAATCCAAAGGCTCATATTATAATAAAGCCATCCTGATCTGTGTTCAAATCTCAACTCTGACACTTGCCAACTTATGATCTTGGGATAAGTCTTGTAACCCTCTGAGTCTAAGCCTCCCACAAAACTGAAAATGCCACCTTCATAAGGTTCATGGGAGGATTCTGTGAAATTATGTCCAAAAATTGCTCATCACAGTTCTTGATATGTGATAAATAGGCAATAAAGGTAGTTTCTCTTTCTTATCTCATCACCATTGTATGTACCCCTGAGAAATAAAAAGCTGCCATTAAAAAAATGTCATGTCCAACCAGTGTGGTTCAGTGGTTGATTATCAACCAATGAGCCATGCTGTCTCTAGTACAATTCCTAGTCAGGGCACATATCTGGGTTTTGGGGTCTATCCCCAGTAGGGGGCATGCAGGAGGCAGTGGATCAATTATTCTCTCTCATCATTGATGTTTCTATTACTTTTTTCCTCTCTCTTCCTTTCTCTGAAGTAAATTTTTAAAATATTCTTTTAAAAAAGATAATAATATCACATAATCTCACCCATTTGTAGAATATAATGAACAACATAAACTGATGAACCAAAAAAGAGCCAGAGGGGGAAAAATTTAGAATATAATAAAAGTAATCCTGTTATTTTCAGATTTTTAATATTTCCAACAATTTTTGTGACATTATACTATACTATATAAGTATTGGTAATCCTAATATATAAAAACCCTGGGTCCATCACAACCAGAGTCTCAACCAGCCAGAAGTCAGTCCTTCAGTCAGTACTGGGTTGCCATAGTGACCCAGTACTAACTGCTGTGGCTGCAGGCCTGGTGAACCAGCACTGACTGCTGAGGAGGCTGCAAATCAGGCCCAGAGAGAGGCCTGAAGGGAGAAGCAGGGTCTAATCTGTAGCCTGTGTGGCAGCTTTTGCTCAGCACTTGCCTCTCTCTTTCTCTCTGGGGTGGGCCAGCAGCTGCACCTCCATTTCTCTCCAGGCCTCCACCAGGGCTACTGATCAGCCCTGTCTTTCTTTTTTTTTTTTAATTAAATTATTATCTGTGTACATATTTTAACATTGCCCCCCTTCCCATACATACCCTCCCTCCCCAGAGTTTTGTGTCCATTGGTTGTACTTATATGCATGTATACTTATACAAGTCCTTCGGTTGATCTCTTATCTCCCCCAGATCTCCCTACCCTCCCGGATGTAATTTGACAGTCTGCTTGTTGCTTTACTGTCTTTATATCTGACTTTTGGTTCATCAGTTTATAATGTTCTTTATTATCCATAAATAAGTGAGGTCATGTGGCATTTCTCTTTTATTGACTGGCTTATTTCACTCAGCATGATGCTCTCTAGTTCTATCCAGGTTGCTGATGTTGAGAATTCCTTATTTTTTATGGCATCATAGTATTCCATTGTGTAGATGTACCATGGTTTTTTGATCTAATCATCTGCTGACAGGCTTCTAGGCTGTTTCCAGATTCTAGCTATTATAGATTGTACTGCTATGAACATAGGGGTGCATATATCCTTTCTGATTGGTGTTTCTAGTTTCTTGGGATATATTCCTAGTAGTGGGATTACTGGGTCAAATGGGAGTTCCATTTTCAGTTTTTTGAGGAAACTCCATACTGTTCTCCACAGTGGTTGCACCAGTCTGTATTCTCCTCAACCTCACCAACACTTGTCGTTTGTTGATTTGTTGATGTTGGCCATTCTGACAGTTGTGAGATGGTATCGCATTGTTGTTTTGATTTGCATCTCTCTGATCAGCCCTGTCTTTCTGATCAGGCCCCATTGATAGACCTAGAGATACTGGCTGGCATAGAAACCAACCAAATCTGGTGAACTGTGAGGTGCCAACAGCTGCCTAGGAGGCAGAGCTTTTGACACTGACTGGCATAGAAATTGACCAATCAGACCAAATTGGGTGAACTGTGAGGAGCCAATGGCTGCCTAGGAGGTGGAGCTTTTGATGCTAACTGGCATAGAAACCAGCCAATCAGAACCAAATTAGCCAGCAGAGGAGGGAAGTTGGGGGTGAGTTCAGGCCTGCAGAGGAGAGCAGTTGGGGGGCGAGATCAAGCCAACAGGGGAGAGCAGTTGGGAGCAACCAGGCTGGCAGGCGAGGGCAGTTGGGGATGAGATCAGGCCAGCAGGGGAGGACCACTGGGGACAACCAGGCTGGCAGGAAAGGCAGCTGGGAGAGATATCAGATCAGCAGGGAAGGGCAGTTGGAGGCAAGATCAGGCCAGAAGGGGAGGGCAGTTAGGAGTGATCAGGCAGACAGAGACAGTTGGGGGCAAGATCAGGTTGGCAGGGGAGAGCAGTTAGGGGCGATCAGGCAGGCAGGCAGGCAGAGGGGTTAGAAGCAATCAAGAAGGCAGGGAGAGACAGTTAGGGGTGGTCAGGCAGGCAGGCAGGCAGGTGAAATGTTAGGAACCACCAGTCCCAGATTGCAAGAGGGATGTCCCACAGGGATCAGGCCTAAATTGGTAGTCGAACATCCCCCAAGGGGTCCCCAATTGGAGAGAGTGCAAGCTGGACTGAGGGGAACCCCCCTCCCCATGTACAAATTTTGTGCACTGAGCCACTAGTATTATTATATTTAAAATTTTTTGAAATATTGGTTTTTATTGCATGTAACATTATCATATTTAAAATAATTTTTCTTGAAATATTAATGTTTATTGCATGTAACATTATTATATTTCAAATATTTTTTTCTTACCCTCGCCAGTTTGGCTCAGTGGATAGAGCATCAGCTTGAGGACTGAAGGGTCCCAGGTTCAATTCTGGTCAAGGGCACATGCCCTGGTTGTGGGCTCGATCCACAGCTGGGGGCATGCAGGAGGCGACCCATCAATGATTCTCTCTCATCATTGATGTTTCTATCTCTCTCTCTTCTCCCTTTCTCTCTGAAATCAATAAATTATACATAAAAAATAATAAAAATAATAAAATTTTTGAAAATAATAATAATAATAAATAAAAAAACATGTCACTATCTATTAGGCATTTTCTGATATCAAAAGGTATTTAATGTAGAAAAATGTTTCTGAGAATAGAGGAAGCAAAGTCGTTGGGGGCGATGAGACCTCATCAAGGCTCTGAAACTGGAAGACTGGGTACCAAGCAAAATCAGCCTGTGGGGCTCTGATCCAACACTAAAACTAACATGTTTTGCAGCAAGAAAAAAAAAGAAAAGAAAAAAAAGCTGAAGTGTTAGATTTAATTGTTAAGTTATAAATCACACTTTGTGGGGTGTAGGGTTTACCATACTAGCAAAATTCAATATGTCAATAAATCTTCATGACTGCTTCCAAACAATTTCAGTTCTGACCAAGAATGGAGTCAAACTAACTGAGCCAATCAACACGCCCTGCAAACCCTCTCTGGACCATAGACCCTGAAGTAAGGACCCAGAGGACGAAGCCATTGGCTGCATCCCTTACAATGAGCGCTCTCCTGAGAGCTGAGAAAGGATGTGCTTGCTCCCCTATGCTTTTCCCCATTGTCCTCTCAGAATACACAATGTTCTGTCCAAGGGTCAAATTCATCAGCATTATGCCTCCTATGCATGAATTTAAAAAGCCACAAATAAAGCTACATGTCTCAAGGAAGTAATAAAATTAATGACTTTCCAAAACCAGATACAAGAAAGGTTAGCCTTGGATTTTATAAAGTTGTATGTTGCTTGTAATATTCCTTATTGACAGAGGGGGGAATTCTAAAATTACAAATGAAGATGAATGGCGATGTCTTGGAAGAAATTATTTTACTGAAAAGTCATTTTCTTCCTTTCACAGAGCTGGGTATTTGTGGGACGGCTCTTCATTTTGACTTAAAGAGATAGCATTTGCTAGATGATAGCACAGTTGCTATGGTGACTTTTTCTTTTAACAATACTAAAAATAATGAAGCCTGTGTCTGATTTGCTAGGACAAGTCGAGCCTTCCTCCACAGCTGCCTGAAAGAAGTATCTGTCAATTGCCACAGATTTATTCCAAATTAAGGGCACACGGTTAGGCACTGAAGCGGAATGTTTTTATTTCTGCCTGACTCTTCCACTTTTGAATGTCATAGCTTTGCAGGGCATGGCAGACACATGCCTAATAGAGAGGAACAGAGAGGAGCTTAATGAGTCACAAAGAGGCATTCTTTATTTCAAGTGCACCCTGTATTCTCATTGGAATGAGTCCACAGAGTGGCTGGGTCCCCAAACCCTTCATTTGTAATTCCCCAGGCAGTCGCATAGAGAAGGCCAACGTTGTTGTTTGCTAAGCTACGAAGCAACAGCATCTCATTTGTTAGTTATCGGCTTTGTTCCAGAAACGTATTCCTAGGATTGTGGCCCCAGAGTGCGTGCGTGTATCTGTGTGTGTCCATGCTTGTGCCTGGGTGAAGGAGCAAGGTGGTAGGAGAGTACAGAGGAGACGATGGGAGCTGTTCCACTCCCCATAGTAGCCATTACAGAATTTAACACATGTTTATTAAGCAACTGCTGTAGGCCAGGCACTGTCGAGCACCGGGGTCACTAGGTTCATTTAATAATTGATTCCAGTATGATAAGTGTTACAAATAAAACATTATATTTAGCTTAATATTATCCAAAATGTTTATATCTTAACAAGTAACCAATTTAAAACATCGTATATAATAAAAGCCTAAT